ATTTACACGTTACACCCATACATACTTGCGGGTCATGAACTATCGTTTCTTTTTTAATGGGGAAATGATACAATGTGTGATATCTAAAGGTCTTATGTTGAAGTAAGAAGGACTGTGCCCAACCTAATATGTACGTATGTTATTTCAAAGTCAGCTAGCATTGAGACTATCTGCTTATTATGTTAAGCGGCGGCGGTTGCCACGCAGGCAAGTACCAACAGCAAGCCCTAAGCTATGAGGCTCTCGGTGACGCTTACACTAACAATCTGTATTGGTGTTATCTTATCAACCTTGATTTATAAACCATGTCACGAGACGTTGTATTAACTGTAAAAATATAGAATTAGATATTTTCAGTATTACGTCCAGCGAATATTTGTTTAATCTCATATCGACAGTTGATTAGATTGTACGTAATAAAAGTGAAGAGTATCAACGTTAAGTTCCGGCCGGCTAGCGCGCCCAATACTTGGTGCGGCGCCGGCGCAGGGGGCGGCGGGCGACTAGTTTTCTCTTCCCATAGTTGCCGCACCAAGGCCTATTTACTGCTTAGTTCCGTTTGCGCCTTCAAAGTAAACTTAGGCACAACTCAGTCTAAATAAGCGTTGCTGTACCGTTCGTTAAATCAATGGCCAAAATTATATGTTGGTAGAAGAATAGCACACTGAGCACAGTAAACTGTTGTGAATTGTGTTAATTTTATTTACTAGTAAAAGTAATTACACACACATTTTTATATAAATATTAATTACAAATAAGTAAGGTAGGAAAACAAACCGTGTAGTCAAAGCTAAGTGAAATTAGCGCCGAGCACGCGACGATGATACCACGCAACGGTAAGCGCCATGAGTGTAAGTGTCTTCGTTCTATCGAAAAAAATCTGAACTGGACTGGAAAATCTGGAAAACGCATTTATAATACGCTTTTGAATCATAACCACTTTCGCTTACAATATAAGCAATGCGATATTAATTGCAACGTTGGTAAGTTATTAGTGCCTTCCAGTTGCTAAGTCGCCACGCTTTATATTGTGTGGACACGCGTGTTAGGTTGCAACTTCTATACATTAGCTACAGTATTTGCAACTTTATGCTAATGCAGGTTCAACCCAGTGATCATAATTCAAAGAGTAATCTTTACTTCACTAACATTGCGAATTAGCGACTAATGTTCAACCAATAAGTTTAGGAACGGATCGGTGACCGTTCTGGGGTCAGACTCTAGGATGATGAATATTGTCAAATATTAACATCAGCGCTAACCTCGAGAAAGAAAGAAATAAAGTAGGTATTTTTTAGGGAATTTTCAATTAATAAGTTAGTTTTCAACCAAATCTTATGTAAGAATTATTGTTTTGTTTAGAATATGACATCGAGAAAATCTGAACTGCGTGCAGTTTATTCGACGGTGACAGATTGTTTTTTTTATTTCTATTGCGGAAAAATCCTGGTAGAAAACTATCGGGAAACCCATTTATGTAGATATTTTATATTACCCATTGTGATTTACGCAGAAAAGGAGCTGTATTTTTATAGGAATAAATTATTAATTATTATTTAGATAATTATAATGGGTATGGGGAATCCACTGAGACTACAGCGCAAGTGAATCTGATACAGATTCCGTGTCCGTATAACAATGTACGTTGAGACTGCAGGTGAGGCCTGACACTTTCACACTTGGCGTGGCTGCAGAGTGAGCGCGTCACTCGCTGCTTGTGGACCCAACGCCAGCGCTCGGCTCAATTCACTTCGGATCGTTTACGACCTCCACAAACGAAAGGCGTTTCGCCGGTTGCCGATACTGGGGAAATCGATTCAAATACCGATTGCGTAATTTCCACGTATGGTTTTAGATGAAGTGTTTAGTTATTTCTCTGCAAAGAATATTCGAGTAATTTGAAGTGTCTGATACAGCGAAAAAGTCGTGATTACAAAGTCCTAAGCAATTCGGTCAGGCTTGTAACAGCTATAAGTGTTCCACTTAATAGCGGCCTGTGGTAAGGTTAGCTGACGTTGGCCCGCCAGCCGCCACCGGCTAACGGTATGGCCGCCGGCGCCGCGCGCACGTGAAAATAATTCTTGACGCGATTTTGTAACGAATACCGTTACTCGGTTCCGGGCCTGCCGGTGACCTTATTTCTCAGCCGAGCACTCTTTATTTTTATATCTTATTGCCTGACGTTATATGGTGGCGTCGCTTTCGAATGTTTTATAAATCTGAGTGTTATCCAAAACGTAATCTATATTAGTAACAGGGATTCTGTGCTAAATGTAAGGAAGGAATGTGTTTTCAACACGTTTACATACAGATATCTATTCATTACGTAATTCCCCTGTCCGGGTTTGCCGGTAAAATAATAGTTGTTTATGAACATGAATGCGGCGGTGAGTCAGCGAGAGGTTTTGTTTGATCGTATGTCAGTTCTGTACGGCTACATGTACAGCGGGTTTGTCAGCTCTGACGCTTGCGAGCGCACAGCACCGCACCTGGGGAATACCGCACGTCATTTCGCTGATAAATTGACTACTGCTGTAATTAAGAATTTTTTCAATAATTCCTGTATGATTTGGGTTTCTCCTGCATTTTTACGTCGTATAAAAAACATTTGATTAGTGTAATTCGATCGCGTGTTATCTCTCAAGTTGTTTTGATGAAGTGCGCCGCTCTATCTAGCGTGCGGTGACGCAAAAACCGTTTCATATACTAACAGCGTAGATGGCTGTTATTATTGGTACAATACACCGGCATTCGAACTAGTAAACAAGTGCGTATCGCGCCGTTTACTTAATGTTCTTTGTTATAATGTTGTGTCAGATAGCATTGTTATGAAGCTGTTTATCAATAATCTTTCTGGAATACGTACAACGTTTATTTTTACCTATGGGTTATTCGAGTTGTTATGTCAAATGTAAAATGTTGTGTCAGTTGTTTACACACAACGAATAAATAAATACTGATGACGGACCGTAAACATGGCATCATCTCTTTGAAATAAGTAAAGCGGCGAGGTGCGAGGCGCGGGCCGCGAGCGCGCGTCGTGTCGCGTCACGCTAGTATCGCGTGCTACGTCACGATTTACGCACAACGGCACAAGGCCTGCGCGCGCGCACCTCGCTTCCTTATTGTTATTACTGTTGTAATATCACTGCGCCACTGCTTTCTTGATCTTGTCAGGAAAACAACATGTTTGCTGCTGCCTATCTAAACGAGGCGACATTAGTAAACATTAGCTAATTACTAATTAGCTGTATTGCTAACGTTCTCATTTTATTTAGTTTAAAATTCTTTGTTATCTTGTTCTACTCATTATCTCATTAATTATGTATTACAGTATTACTGTTACTTACTTCTTATAGACCAAATTAATTTTTGACCTAATTTATAAAACTGGACTGCCGTACCAGCTACGGTAATAAAGATATCATAAGTATGAGACCGAATAAAATTGAAGGTTTTAATACTGGAAATATAAAAATGAAGGTAATGCCAACAGAACCTTTATCGAGCCTTGACAAACAAATTGACGGTCAGATTTAAATATCGAGTTGGGTCAACTGGTCAATTATCGGCTGTGGAAATTAAACACAAATTTAATATTGTGTACAAATTGACTCCGACGATAAGCCGGCCGATGCTGATGACGCATGAGGCGCGCGCGCCGGCCGGCTCCACGCGCCGCGCGCCGCCCTCCGCCGCCCGCCGGCCGGCGTCGAACAATAACTACGTATCTACTTTAATCTGTGGCGCAGTGCCGTAGGAGGTGATTAAAGGAATCTTCGGCTACCTGTTTTGTGGCGCGCAGTTTGATTTAGTGTAACGGTTCAACCGGCTTACAAAATTTAGCGCATGCGTGCCCGAATTGAGCAATACGACGCCAAAACGTGCTACGCATTCAACCGGGCCGGCTTGATTCCAACAAGTACGCACATCTAACTGTAAGAGCGGCGACACGTGTACTCTTTGTTTATCTAGCCGATAGTGCATGGCGCGCTCTGTGCAGCTGGTTGTATTGGTGTCGTGACCTACCGCTTTATCTAATCTATATTGTAAAATGATTGAAATGCAATTAATGTTTTCAATGATAAAGACATCACCTTGCCAGTGCTGCCGAATTTTTAATGATCGATACGTTATCTTTGCCCTTGGTGCTGAGCCCCAATATCTCTTTTAATATTAAATACCCACTTCTGCTAGCGTCAGACAGCTCTACCAACTAATAGCTACCTACAGTTCATACATATTTTCCTGTTATGTCGAAGCATTAACGCGATCATTTGTTTAAAAAAACAGATTTACTGCAACAACACATTATTACGATGTAATTATGCCTGCGGCTGTGCATACATACATAGGAAAATTGTTCATCTAATGTACACCTTTACACTTTGATAACAATAAATGATGTCATAGAATTTAATAATTGAATCATGACCAATTTTTGTGTAACTCTGTCAAGTGGAACAGTTATGCTGTGTCGGCAACGAGTAAGAGTGTCGGTGGTGGTGCGGGGCAGAGCGGAGCCGCGCGTGTATGTCCGCTGCGATAAGTTACATGGTTGCGCCGTGCGCGTGCGATGCGTCAAGCGCGCCGGCGCAGCGGCCGGTGCATCGCGCACCGCTCGCTGCACGTGGAGCGGGGTCAATAGCTCCACCACTCCGCCTACACTACAACATCGCCTCGAACTGCATACACTACAAATAACCGATCATTGTTCTCACGCACACTATTAAGCGCTCCAATTATAAATAAATGCATATCCATCATTGTCCTATGCATGTGTTACTTGCTAAGCATTGCTTTTGTTTCGGTGTTAAAGTTTTATGAAAATGTCGTTGATGTCTTTTGATAGAACTTTTTTGTCAAATTCAAATAAAACCACTGGTCTGTTACTGGATTTAAAATACAAAATTGAATTATGTATTACTTGAAAATCTGGATAAGACTATATTTGGATGTGTAATATAATAACTTTAAATGCAGTATTCGTTAAAAGTTACCTCAGAAGTGGGAGAGTAGATCTGGACGTGCAGTTCGTCAGTGTTGTAGTCGTGGTGCTTGACGTCGGCGTGCACCTCCCGGCCGTTGTAAGTGAGGTAAACTCGCTGTCCTTCCTTGAGGCGCACCCCGGTCATGCCCCGGAAGCCGGGCCCGATCAGCTCGGCGTCCCGGTACTCGCGGTTCTTCATCATTACACTGTCGAAGCGCACTGTGTAACGAGTGTTCGGAGTCAAGTTGATGCAATTGTTGTTCTCTGGGAAAGGCGCCGGTGTCTTCACAGCGTGGATCATCCCCGAATAGTACAGTCCGTCATCACCCAAAGCCGCGACGCGCGTCCCGATGATGGACCGCTTGGCCAGTCGCTTGCCTGTGGACATGGTGCTCAGTCCTCACTCTACTTTTTAATTTGTTGGACACTCACGGCCTCACTACACTGTCCGGTGGCCGAAATATTATTCTTCTCACACCTTCACTCAAAATTTCAAATCGCCCGGCGTACGCGTTTCGCGGGATAACCGTCACAGAATTTTGGAAAACTGACAAAATTTCGTCGCGATTCAGCACGCTGCGCGCTTTCCGGCTCCTCAGTAGGCCGGGGCTGGTCGCGGCTCTCGCGTAGAAACATAATACGAGGGCAGGGTCCTCGAGGATCGGGACAAAGGAAAATCCTTTCGCGTTACTAAACTTCGTAACCGAGCTCACAGCGGACGACCTCAATAAGCGCGGTTCGAACACGAACTGGCGTGAGTGCGTGCGGCGCGTCGAGACCGGCGACACCGGCCGGCCGGCGAGCGGGAGCGGCGACCGCCCGTCTCGCTCCTTTGTTTTGATACTCAGCTGTTCGCGCGAGCGAGACGACCGAGTCAATGGCCGCGTGCCTGAGCTAGACGGGTGCTCGGTGGCTCGCGCGCTTCGGCCGGCGTTCGGGCGGACTCGCTATTTTCAGCGGGTGGGCGGGCGGTAAGCGGAGGGCAGCCGCCCACGGGCGACATTGAGGCGCGCCGGTTCGGTTCGCACGTGGAGCGCTAACGGGATTGCACAACGCACCGACGCCACCCGTACCCACTGTCCGCGGACGCTTCATACGTGACACAGTTTCTATTCGGATTCGGGGTCGATTCAAATGTCAAGCAGATGCACCCACTTATGCAACGCAGTTAACGTGACCTAACTACGGCTACGCACATATTTTATAATTGATCTCCATCAATATTCGGACAATACGGTCATACGAATATGATACTTTTTTACTTTAGGTATTTGGAAAATTATTATTTCCATATATTACGTATTTTGACAACACTGTCAGTATTATGTATAATATGTCCTGTATTACACCATTTAGCTCAACTTCAATATACCAAAAATAGTATTATCCTGATTTAATTTCGTAGGGGTAATTTGCTCCCACTACTTATGCAGATGAACACTGCAGAAAAACTGAGCTTAGTAAAGTAACGTATATACTTAAATAACAATAAATTATAAAGTATTTACCAAAATCTAATTTTATTTAATTAAATTCTGTTCAAAAATCTAGAACTGCGACTTCAACGATAAAGCCTTGGTAAAGCGTACCGTCATAACCATGATGGACTCACTTTTATGTGTGAAGTACCTACTAGTAGTTCTATGGAATTTGATTCATGTTATTACCAAAATAGTATATACGAGTCACATGTTTAGTTAGAGCCGGCGAAGTGGCGCGCACGGTAGCGTTACGTCATCCAGCCAACTATTCCATGTGCCCACTTATATACTCTGTGTTTATCAAGTTTATGGTCACATTTGTTTACGTTATGATGTTCAGTGTAAACATATTTACGTAACTCTTACCCGACAAACGAATCTCACGGATGGAGGTCACTCTCTATTTATCAAGTGCGTGAAAATTTGTCTCTCATAAACAAACGCGCACTGCCCGTTAAATAAGAATGAAGTAGAAACTGTTATTAGTTGTGTGTGAATAGCATTGTTTACTAACATTGTCTCGGTAGGTGTTACAAAAAGCAGTACTAGCGTGTTGTCGTGAACATTTTCCTGCTTTTGTATAGCCAGTGGGTACGCGTAGACCTTGTCTGGTTTACACGATTACCGCTTTTATTTAATAATGCGCTAAGAGCTTTATACCTTGTTCAGTTATTAAAATACTATTAGCAAACATTGTTAACAGCAAACATAAGAAGGGAATCGTATTCTTAATTCAAATAAATTAAAATATTGAATATATTTTTTTATTTTTTATTTACGTACCTCTGACAATGTCTACTGCCCTAATAAGTATACCTAGGTATTAAAATGTAGGTACCTAATACATACTCGTAGCAGGTGGTATGTATGCATGCATGTAGTTGGTGGCCTAAATAGTAGCGTTAACTCAATATTTACTACTTAAATCTAGATCAAATATTAATTTTCAATAAATACGAGAAGATAGAAATCAAAAATTCTTCTAAAACCTATTAAAAGAGGTTGCTTGGAAAATTTTTTTGTGATACAGTGGCTATCTAACAAGTGATTTACATAATGGTAGCTAAACAATCAGCGGTGGCCATGGACACCCACAACACCAGAGGAGTTGCAAGTGCGAGGATTTAGGTATGGGGTAATCTCGCTTAAACGGTGAAATACAAAGTTGTTTTACGTTGGTTTTCTGTAAGTGCTGAAGCATGACTCTCCCACACTTATATTAGCAAATTTTCGAATTGGCGAAATTTGAAATAGGTTCTTAGATGAAAATTATACTTCAAGTACTCAGCTACGTTCATACTTTACGGAAGTAATTAGGTTTAATTAGTTGATACCTAATGATTATAATGACAGATTGTTTGAATCTCGACACGAAGATCTGGAACTTACACAATAATTCATTTAGCCTTGTGCAAGTAAAATCTCATTGCCACTATTTTGTAATAGATTTTCATAGGCTTAAAAAGGTGGGGCGAGTTGAACCTCACAAATGGACGATCCGACAATACCAACACCGCGGATACTGCTATAGTTTGGGCGGTAAACAGGGACGGCAGCCATCTTTGATTCTCTATGGTGCAACACAATATGGCGTGTTTACAACAATTTGTAAGCTTCCTCGAACCGTTTGCGAAAGTCATCGAAGCAGTAGTAGTATAGCTCGTAAGAATACATATAATAACGTTGTACGTTTACTTAGATAATGAAACATGATTGCACCACTAATGTAACTATTCTGTATCCATGAAATTCATCATATTTTGCAATATCTAAGTATGTAAAGAATTACATAGAAAGTACGTGTCCAAAAGATGAATAAAATCACGTTTAAAATTTATATAAACGCGTTGGAAGCACGTTTCATTTTCTCCACACTTTTTTATATCTACCTAGATCATCAATGGTAATGAGCTAAAAGTTTGTGGAGATTAGCTTTAAAAACAAACTCTTTGATAAAACATTAGCGTATCTAATCAGTATCGGTATCGAACAATACATGGGACTATCATCTATCCTAACATAATAATGTAGAAGATATTTTTTTGTTTGTTTCAATCTCTAGAGACCGATTTGAAAAAACATTTTTACATTTGATGTTTTCTATTTTCGAGGATGGTTAGGTCAATTTATCACCGCGCTACGTAGAATGCTGGTCAGAGTTAGTTAATAAATAATACATAGAAACTTATACCATTCGTTTCATGAGGCTGTTTCAATAGTCGAAATGTTAAACATTTAACATTATATTTTGTTATTACAATTTTGATTTTATTTCATTAAAAGTGAATGATAGAGCAGATACCTTGCCGTTATAAAAATAAACATACCTACATATTAAGTGGAGTCACCAAGGTCGTAGAAGAGCTGGTTGCCTAATATGCATTCTAGTACGGTGGAATACCTTACTTAAGTGTTTAATTATTGTAATTCCGAATTCATTAGTAGGCTGCTTCGTTAGTCTGGTCATAAACCCAAAAATACAATCATCGAACTTTGCGCTTGTCTATGCTGAAGCTTATAGATCAGATGTCAAATGTTTCGTTGGTAAGTTTTGAGCTTTCTGTGAAAATAGGCCTTTGTATTTTACTTGAACTAACTTACATTCTTAAATAAGATCGGAATGTTTTTGTTTTGAGTAGCTGCTAAGAGTTTTCCTAATAAAACGATAGAATAAGCAATTTCTGTCTTCGAAAGATACTCAATGATCAACTAACTGATCTTTAAGCATTACTGCATTACCTCATTTTTCAAATGAAGAAATAAATTTCTTAGATTTATGATTAAGTATTACTATGGACTAGTATTGCGAAGAGTGTCTAAAGATGATGCACAGAATAAATATATTAGTTATTAAGAAATATGTGATAGAGCTATTTAAGAGTAAAATAAGTATTCTAGAACATAGAACATTAGGTACATGGGCATTAGTGGCACCTATTTACATAAACCTGGAATCAATTTACGTAGTCTTCCTAGTAGTAGACCTTACGGGGAATACGTTTAAACTTCATTATCATAAAATGCAAGTATGTTTTGTACATTATTACGGAGTGTCGCTTACTTAACATTTATTCATAAAGTTTTTTGTCCTTTTCTGTTTGTTGGCATGCGTGCCTGTTTATATTAAGTACCCAAAAAAGGTGTAGGTCAGCCATCTTACGTCATGGATGACGAATAAATTTAAAAAACAATAAATTAGATTAAACGTACCGTGTTCTAATATCTGTTTTTATGTTAATCACCTATTGATAAACCAAAGTTTTCCTTACCATAATATTTACACAATATCGTTTCAATTACCATATTGTGACGCATTACTAAGTATTATCAATAGAAAACGTATTTTATTTACCGCTCAGCATATTTATATTGATTATTATCAATACAGATTAAAAACACCTCCTTATTGCTCATTAAAAAATAACTATTTTAAGTTTTTTTTATTGTGTGTACATTTGTAGGTACTAAACAATCTTTTGTAAGTCTTACGTAACATGGCGTTTAAATATTGCGTATGTAAGCATTTTTTGTTGTTGATAATCAGTTTCTTACTTGTTTTTAATTCTTTATTTTATATTTTAATTTTATGTGACCTCGATAATGATTGCTTCGTCACTAATTATCACAGTCGATTAGGTATGTTAGGGTACGTATAGAGGAACGCTGTTTTTGGCAATAAAATGTAGAACTGGGTTTAGTTTTTTACTGAATGCAAACGTAGACTTAATTAAATTATGCTTCGTTTATGTTTGCATTAGTGGGCAGGTCTTATTGAAATTACTCGTAGAATGATGACATAATCGTGTGTCGCGGAGACATCTACAATAACGTGCTTCTAATTAGAATCAAGAGCACGAGTAAGCGAGTAACTGCTAGGCTGAACGTGATTGATTGTATTACGTGTGGCCGTGTAGGTAGTAGCCGTCCACACCGCCACACGACACTTCTACGCGAATGTTCACGCCAACATCTAATAACCAGTTAATACATTATTATTTATTAATTCATTGGGTTATTAATATTGCCTACTACTCGTGCCTGCTATGTATTCATTACTATTCATATAAGGTATATTTCTATTATTTGTTTGAGCGTAGTGTGACTCCGTTTACCAATATCGGACAGATGAAATTCAAACAAATGTTTAAAATAAGCTTTCTCAAAGCAACAACCCCATATTTTTTTTTATTTCCGTACCTACGCGGCTACGATGCGATGGTAACAGACTAACAGATGCACAAAGGCGCATTGGGCCAATTATGTTAGAAGTGAAAATATGTGTGGGTAAAGGTTTATGTGTGTGCCGGCTCGACTTGTTTAAACTTAGGGTGACTCTGAAGTTCTGACCAATGAGAGAGCGGCGTAGTCACGTGGGTTTGTTTTCCCGATCAGCTGTTATGGGAATGCTCACAAAAAACATCAACAAACCTGAGCCTGCCCCCAGCGCAGGTAACAAAGGCCCACAGAATAATAATACCGACACTTCAATGGAATCTTGCTCAGATTTGTTTGGGGAGAGCCCGCGATGTTCGTCATAACGAGAGCTCGAAATTGCTTTTACCTTTGTTTGAAACGTTAGACAATGATGTCTTTGAACACATTTTGCTTGTAGCAAAAAGGGTAACTATTGATTAAAGTTACTGCCGCCTACATGCTTTTGAACCTTTGCGAAAAATAGTTTGAGAATTACAATGTCAATGTCTCTACCTGTAAGACAAAGGTGATTGTTAAATGTCAGGCGGAAACTGAGAATATTTCATGGACTTTACACAACATTACCTACAAGATTGCGTACAATCAGACAATGTGAAATAATAGGGATTTAATGTAGATGGCAGTGATGGAAGCTAGGTAGGTAGGTAGTTCCGTATGTAATCACATAGGTAGGTGGATCTAGTACCTAATCGCGGGTATAAAGACAGACGAGGACACTTCTTGAGATACTGGCGACGCGTGATTATTGTCAATCAACAACGCTTCGCATTAAAAATAACTTTATAGATACTACACAACTACACTGAAGATACGAATAACACGGTTATAATGGTGATAACGATAAGCAAGGTCATTAGAATAGTTCCGAAAACATATTCAGAAACGATTAGACAGTAAATAATAATTAAGGAACTTGTTTATTTTATTTTAATTATTGTTAAATAAATACTTTATTGTAAGTCTTATAGAGTCATTCTGATTGGCTCAATTACAAAATTATTTTATAAGTGAGACGACATTCAAAACAAGTTTTGTACGAATAAAGACTCGTTTCCCAACCACGTGGCTGCTATTCGGTTAACATTATAAGTAGATAATTTATGCCCTCGTTTTACTTGGGCTAAACTTCCGGGATAAACGTAACCTACTCAGCTGTATTAGAGAAACTTCAATACTTTCAACAGTCCCTAAAATAAGTTCTCTTCTTGTTGCACCTACCATACTCTCTCTGCATCACCCTAAGGTTGACTGGTGAGAATGCCTACGGCATTAAGTCCGCCTATGTAATGTTTTGTTGCATAAAGTTTAAATAAAATAAAATAAAATAAATAAAATAGTATCCACTGCATATATCGACGCATTCGCTGGCTGGTGAATGCCTACCTTTTTTATTGCATAGGTATAGTTATTATTGTTACTTTTCTTTGAAATCAGCAGGTAAGTACGAGTTGAACTGATGGCGAGTAAGTAAAGTACACTACAGAGGCTGCTACCACGCTTTTTTGATGTCAGTCAACTGAGAGCGACTGTGAAATGTGGCGCAACAAGTTTTCGCGTAACTAAATATGCTATTTACGAATAGTGTCATAACGGAACCATATCTGTTAATAAAAGGAACATGACAAAAATAGCTATATAGAAATATCTACCTATCAACAAGTTTCGAAAACCGCATGCGATAAGGTTCTATCTACGGTACGATGGTAGGGCGAATAAATATGTGTCGTCACGACCTAATATGATAACTTTTCAGGGACGAATCTAGGAAGGTGTAATGCGTATGTAGTTGGGTTGCAGGGCCTTGCCTGCCTAGATAGCTCTCTCTCTCTCTCAGATATATGTATATAAGATCGACTAATTAATCGATTATAAAAACTGAATTTTAATATGTTTTTGCGCTTCCATCAATATATGGACATGGAGTCAAAGTAAAATCTTTTTAAATACACACATAAAAAGACTAGTTATAGGCACGTTTAAATGAATAACTGAACAGGGAAGATTAAATTATTAACGTTTGAGAAAGAAATCAATATGGAATGTCTACTGATGTGGCGTCGATGACGTTGCACAAGCACGAGCGACGAGCAGATAAATAAATTGATGGGTAGACATGTCCGTGTCATTGTGTGAGTTGGTAAGTGATTTTATCGAATTTCCCAATAAATTTTCTATTATGTAAGTAGTCGAGAGAAAGGTTCTCCTTACGAGAAAGTAATAGCAGTATCACATAATTGTTATTCTGTGTTCAAACCATGGTTTAAATATACACTGTAGGTATTCGATTTTTGAATGTGTGAGCGCGGAGTGGCGACTGTGGGTTATGATAAGTTAGAAAGTAGGTAATTAATATGACTTTTTGTTTGTAGCCAGGGCCCTGTGAATAATAAGTTCCTACCCAAAGAAAACTATTGAAAAATCACATCAGTTATGATCCGAAAAACACGAAAAACAAAATGGCGTTAGATAGATACATTGATTTGGTTGGCCACCCAAGTTGTTGGTACTGCAAGGCCACAAGAATTCGCAGTCCGGCCCTGACGCTTTTAGTAATTAGATAGCGATTGTGAATAGGCAAACATTAGTACATACCTATTATACCTAATGGTGCCTATCAGTGGTTTGGCAGTTAGGGCCCTATCGAATTCTTATCATTTCGTGGTTAAATGGTTTCTGTTTGCCCTATTAAGTTCTCTTTCTCACGAACATATGTGATACCAGTTCTTACATATACATATACATTACATATGTATAGATACTAAGTATAAAAGCTATTGTGTAGGTACCGGTTAGGTATCTCTGACCTTTAAAATATTCTTAATTTGACAAGTTCGAACTTGTTCAACATCGAGTTAATTGACCCCTAATTTTTTTGGACAATAAACAGTTATCTGCCTATGTTTCTGGATTACTTAATAAGAATACGTTCGATTTTTAAAAATAATCATTTTTATTGCGTAGGTACTTTTTTATTTGTTATGTTTGGTACTTACTTGCCAGTACTGTTTGCATTTACATCCATCATGCAGTGCAGTATAAATAGGTTTAAATACAAACCTGTGTATAAAAACTATTTCCTATTAAATAGGAAATGGTGTCAGGAAAACTCCTTATCAGTAACATACCTTGTTTCCATGGTAGTGCTGCAAGTTCATTTACTCCCTCGACTATAAATTATTATGTTACCTCCATATTGTGACATGCGATCACGAAGCTATGCACTTAGCGCAAGTACAATACATACTTAGTGACTTACCTAAAGTATTATAAATACATATGTAGGTACCTACATTACTATCTATAAAAAATATTATTAGGGATTTCCTATATCTAAGAAATAAACTTGTATTTCCCAAAAATAACGATAAGGTAGATTAAAATGATTACTATTATCACATGTGTATGACTACTGATATAAAAAATTAAAAAATAGCAAAAAGTAAGTGTCTTGGAGGCGCCGGGTATCGATCCCGGTACCTCTCGCATGCTAAGCGAGCGCTCTACCATCTGAGCTACGCCCCCTGATAGTGAAAGTCTCGAAATAGTGTATCACCTTGTAAGCCGTAGCATGTATTATACAGTTGTGCATAAGAAAGACGTTTTAATAAGACTCGTGTAGTGTTTCTAATCAGATTTGTAACACGTTTACCGTTAACATTGTTGCTAACCTGTATTACTAATTTGACGAAATATTGCCAGTACAGTCAATGACAAACCAAATTGTTCACTAGGAATATTTAAGCATGGTTTCATTTATTTTTTAAACTCGAAGCATTTAAGATCGTAGGTCAAGATACTATTGTTCGAAGACATATTCGATACGATCTTAACGTTTCGCAAGGAATCATACGCGAACATCACAAAACGAGTAAAATATGGTTATTTATTAGGAATATTTAGATAATTATTCGTAAAACAGCAATAATTCATCGAGCTGTGTTACTAACAGGATTTTATGATACGGTTTGTGTTGTTATATTGTCAGTTTGATCAGGATGTTTGCTGGTGTATTAAATATTCATTAATTACTGCGCGTCCTTCACTAGCTGTAATTAACGTAGGTGTGTAGTGTGTAGTGTATACTACTCGGGCGTCGGGTGATTTCAATAATACTTCCTTTCATATTTTGTATAAATAATTGTATATTTTAACGCGGAATAATTAACAACGTAAATACATTTTAACAATATTTGTATCAAAATTCATTATAAAAATATTGATAATTATATATTATGTAACAACTTGTGAAGAACAATTCATATTAAAGTGACTAGTTTTATTAACTCAGCTCTTAAAAACACGTACAAAAATATGCGATTTCAATCAATAAAGTAGATTATCTTATACTTAATATTTATAAGAGGTTGGCAAGGGGAACATTTGTCTAAATCTTATATTACATACATACTAATACGGAATGGCAAAAGAATCATTGTCCTCATTACAATTATTCATTCATACACATTATTCATTATGGTCGCGGTGTGCTAAATAAGCTCCCCGACCGATGGGCTTCCCACCTTGTAAGGGCACGCGTCCACAATCTAAATTCTTACGACCATAATAATACCGAGCCAGACTATTGTTCTGAACAGAATCTAGGATCTATTGACTCAGCAACGAGTTTATATCTTCCTTAAATACTTTTGGCATGCGCTCCTTACTTAAAACATCCCAAAACTATTTCCTGTATGTAACAAAAACTTTTTTGTTACGACATTCTATTTTTTGTGCAGTAAATTACTTTCTACTGTACAATAGATTGTCGATAAACAGAAATGAATTTTGGGAATTTGAGTGCTATTGTTCTGTTATAACAAACTTTTGTTTCATAGATATGTTTGATAATAAATGGGTGAGTAGTACTTATCGTTAACGTTCGTTGGACAAAGCATTCTTATATTAATATTTCGCAGAAGTGACTGTTGTGTTGACGCTCAGCTGTCTCCCTCTAGCATGACGACCTGGGCCCCCTTGCCGACGGAGTCCCCGAGCTTGAATGGTGCCAGGGCAGCCACCACACCGTCCCGAGGAGAACGCACCACATATTCCATCTTCATGGCAATTACCACGAACAGGGGCTGACCTTTAACCACCTGTACAAATTGACAATTGTTACAACTTACTTTCGGTTTCATTGGGTGGAAATAAATGGTTATAATCAAACATACACATTCAATGTTAAAGCTTAAGCTACTCGTCTGAGTTCAATCGAGGAGTACGACTTTGGCCAGTTGATCGACAATGCAGTAATTGCATAAGTGTTTCCTCAGACAAATGCAAATTTAATACATAAGTCAATAGGTGGAAACAATGATACATTTATGCATTTCCCGCTTTAGATATGAATATTTATGAGGGCGATGACATTGACTCACTTTGTCCCCCTTGCTGACCAGGACCCTCTCCAGCACGCCGGGCGTGGGCGAGGACGCACTGTTGGCGGCGGCCGACGAGTCCACGCTGCTCGCCTGGTATTTAGGTCGAGGCAACTCCACCACCGTTTGACCATTCTGTGACAAAAATGACATATGAAGATGATTTGTCGCGTGGGCGATGACCGTTCGCTAACCGAAATATACATTTATTTTTCACGGCTTGTGTCGTAATTCTTGTGTAACACGTCGACGAAATAGAGCTGGCGATAGCAGTAGTGGACGTAGTTATGCAAAAGCGGTCCACTGACTCTTAATTTGTTATTGTGTCAGTAGTTAAATTGTATAGTGACTAGGTCATATATTTTTCAAATTTAAAATTCCAAAGTATGAAACTCACATTAAATCAAATGAGTTTTATTTACAATTAAGTGGTCGTTGACAAACAAATTCATTGCTGAATATTAATATAGAAAACATTCTTAGTATATTTAACTATGAATTTGAATCACATATTTTTCTGTTATCTGCTATGTAGGTTGCCACGGCAAAGCAATGTACCCTACACTATGTTTTAACAATAATAGTTTTGGTATTTCTAACCCATTGATGAACATAAACTGGTTAGATAATTATCTACTTTTTCTGTTAACTGGTTTCCCTTTCACTTTTTGATTCTGTATATTGTATTGTAAGTGCCTTTGATTTTTGTGAGCAAAATATATAGTAACTTTTTGCTATAAATAAAATGACCGGAATTTATCGATAAAATCATAACGGTGAACATCATATTGCATTGTTTCTTTCTTCTTTTTTGAGTGGGAATAATCATCAAATCATTTCTCTCGTTGTAGATGGGACGAGAGGAAGTGTCAGGTTTATACAGACAAAAAACTGCTCCGTTCCGGCCCAGGATCGGGCGGGAGGGAGTAGGTGTAAGACTTTCTCCTGCTCTAGACCGAGGTCGCGGTGCCTCATTGCGCTTGCCCCGCAACCTCGGCTAAACATCAGCCCTTTAGGGCCCCGTCTGTGGTGGTCTATTGGCTCTTTGAGGAGCGCGCCGTACGTTCGGGTTTGGTTCTGGTCGGGCGAAGAGCTACCGATCACATTTTTTTAATACTAGCTTCTGCCAGCGGCATTGTCATCAGGGTAAATATTATGATATTCCAGACTATATTCTATCTCTGTTGCAAATTTTATTCGGATACGTTCAGTAGTTCAGTAGTTCAGTAGTTTTTCCATAAAATAGTTTTGAACGTCCATCCATACAAACTTTGGCCGTTATATTAGTTTGTTTGCTTACCTCATCATACACGTGAACTTCTTGGTCGTACGTCAATAGACCGACATTGGTCTTCTTGTCGCCGATGAGAGTGTTCAGTCGGAGCCCCTTCTCCGTGGTCTGCAAGGATGCTTCCACCTGCCTCCACTCGCCATCATTCACTTTGACGCTGTACGAGTTTGGAGCGGATTCGTATTTTACCGTTACTTTTAGATCTGGGAACAAATTGTAAAAACGATAATTAAAATATTAAACTTCAAGATCAATCTAGTAATTTATTAGAGCTTGTCTAATTTAAAAGAACGCACCTTACTCAAGATTATTTTTGGTATTGTAAGTCAGTTTTGATGAAGTATATCAGAGCTAATAAATGGACCTATTTGCACACATTCAAAATGTATGATATTACATGTGTACCTACATACAATGTAGTATATGATTGGAACGCGTTTTTTTGTTGGAACATTTCAACTTAGATAAAGGTAGCAAAAACACACCGCGTTTTTTTTTTGTAAGGGGAAAATCATCAAATGTCTTTTCCCGCCCCTAGTGTCAGACTCTTACTGACTAAAACCCCCTGTTCCTTCTCCTGCTTTAGGCCAAGGCTGCGGACTGCTGACTTATTGCGCTTGCCCCGCAACCCCGGAAAAACGCGTCAAACACACTCTCATACACAACTAAACGACCTTTGTAGGAACTCGGACAATTTGGATGTTATCCTTGATTCGGTTCAATTATTTGAAATTAAGTTAAATAAAACCTTTATTTTATATCATTTATTTAAAATTTAAATATTGAGTTTGTGCATAAAATATAAATTTAAAGACTAAATATTACCTTTTTCATCAAACCTCAGCGGTATAGTTTTCTGTAGCTCATAGTTGGGTCTCCAGGATTGAGGCTGCACTGAGATACCCTTCCAGTTGTCTTTGACAGTGTTTGCTTGTTGATTGGTCAGCAGCTAGAAAAGTTTAAACCATAATTTTACCGTTTTCCTAGTAGTTAGTAAGTAGGTAAACGCTAATCAATACACTTAACATCTCGAAAGTTCGATTCCTGTAGTCTTTGTGTGATGCATAAATTGTTGTTGCAAATCTGAGTATGACATATATGTTGATCGAAATAATTTATTTGTCACATATTGCCGTGAAAAGACAACTTGTCTCGAAATATGATTACACAACAAAGATGAGACGCAACCCTATTTCTCAACTCATTCCAGTTTTTAAAGGCTTCTCATTCTCTTTACTCCTCTCTCAGATGTTTACTATTCAGGCGATCCATCTGCACCTTGGCCATCTTATTATATAATAAAAAAATTATTATTAAAAAAACAAAATACCCGACTGCACACTAAAAAAAGAGTAAAACAAGCCCCACAATACAAATTTACTGAATATAATTTATAAATGTTGATGGAAAGCATCGCAGGCGGGGACCAACAGAGGCTTATTTATAGTCATTTCTGTTGTGCACCATTTAGCAGAATTTTCGTTGGTGGCGGTCAATGTGGTCCCCGCCTGCGATGCTTTCCATCAACATTTATAAATTATATTCAGTAAATTTGTATTGTGGGGCTTGTTTTACTCTTTTTTTAGTGTGCAGTCGGGTATTTTGTTTTTTTAATAATAATTTTTTTATTTATAACTTTTTAGCTGTTTTTATTTAACGAAAATGTTGTAGATGTAGAAGACTATGTATATGCGACGAAGTATCGAAAAAATCGCTATTTAGAGACGACCGTCAACGACGTGTGCCCTTATGCGTGTGCCCGCATTCGGGCTGTATACTCGAGCATATCTCCCTCCGCACCGCGCCGCGCGCCGCATGCCAGGCCACGCCCTATCTTTTTGCTTGCTAACGCATGAGTTGCTTTGCGTTGACGCAGAATTAACATGTTCCCGTGGGAATTTTGAGAAAAAACGTATCCTATATTAATTACTCCCGTGATTGAAATGAATCTAATGATACCGCATACATATTTTTTTAAAGGGAAATTTAGAAAAAATATTATTATGTCTTTATCCCGTGGGACTTTTAGGATAAAATGTATCCTATGACACTCCCGTAATCAAGACAAATCTAACGATACCTCATACATCAAAATCCATCAAGCCGTTTAGGCTACAGGAGGTCACAAAGGAAAAGACATACATACATACTTACATACACCCGAAAAACATTACCCTCCTTCTTTGGCAGTCGGGTAAAAAAACGACGACTCATCCCGGCTTAGCACAAGTGCAATACTGATAGTAAATTTCTCCACCATTTAATCCCTATTCATATGAAATTCGCATGAAACTTTTTCTTCCTTTCTTTTAGAAAAAATGTTGCCCCACACTAGGATTTTCTCTTGTGTCGTGGGTGCGTTTACAAACATACAATTTCACATACACATCACACCCAGACCAGGAATAACAATTTGTGGACACAAAGAGTGGTTCCGTAAGGGAATCGAACCGACGTCGAGTTGCACGGCAGTCAGTTGCTTAAAAAATAGTTAAAATAGATCGAAAAAATTTATTGTATCGACAGATCGATGAATAATTATTTTTTAACATTTTATTGTATTGAAACGTCAAGTACCTAAATTTATTTTTGACCTAGCAAACTACCTAATTATCATAGGTATAAATACGTACATGTCCGAGCGCGGCCTGTATGGCGCGCGTCTCGCTGAGCACGGAGTCGCTGGGCGGGAACAGCTCGGCCTCGTGCTGTGGTATGAAGGCTGTATGCACGTCGCCTGATACGAACGCACTAGCACCGCTTAGCCGCAGTAAAAAGTTTACATTCGTCTCTAAGCCTGCCACCTGATGAAAATAATTGCAGCATTTTTATCCAATGTCTATAGGACTTTTGAATTTCACCGTTTCAGTGAGGTCCCGAAGAAAGCCCAATTCCGTCCGAGAGAGAGATGGGCCCCTCTCTAATCCCTAAATCTCCAAGAAGTATTCGTAACTCTTCTGATGTTGCAGGTGTATATGGGCGGCGCCGATTGTTAACATCAGGTAATCTGTCAGTTCGTGCTGTGTATCTTACATTTCACTTAATTTAACGATGACGAATTTTCTCATATATTGAATCATGGACTTCCATTACAGAATAGGTATATTCTAACGTTCAGTTAAAAATATCATTGCCTTACAAGAACAACTTTCTTTTTAAAAATTATATTTTTTACCAGATTGAAAAGTGGAACTGTACCGTTATGTTCCAACATTATTATCACAATTTTCTAGAGTATAATATTTCCTATTATCAATAATGATCAGTACCCTATTTATTTGAGTCCACTTACTTGGTACTCAGACAGCTTGGCCCTGGTCTTGGCGAGTGCTTCACTGCGGTCGCGGCCCCACACAACGAGCTTAGCGATCATTGGGTCGTAGTGCACAGACACTTCTTGTCCTTCACGCACACCCGTCTCAACCTGGAACAAAACATTTAAGCAATCATAACAAAATATAACTTGAACAAAAAATGTAATACTAACATCTTTTTTAAGGTAAAACGTCTATTATTTTGTAATTGTGGTAAAAATTTATACTGTACTAGTCTACATAGGTGATTATTTACACAAAATATCAGATAGCTCCATCTATTGCGAACAATACGTATTATTTGATGTAAGATTCTACATAAAGCTCAAGAATTTTGAAATACGATTTGCCTACAGAGATTTTAGGGCTCCCTCTATAAAATGTTAGTGGTACTTTCAAAGGAATAAGGTTTACTTCTTTGAAAGGGTATAACCATGATTACAGTACGGTGTGGTCAACATTACGATTAAGATGTTGTGTTATTGAAACACGAGCAAGAATGCAGATATCCATTGCTAAACAGAAGTTAAGCTTTGTAACAAACCTACTTGTACCATTCTCATGTTTAGAATTAAAGTAAAAATTTTACAAAGGCCAACTAAATACCTTTGTGTTTTTGATGGCGTAAAATGAATGGGGTGCGAGGGAGTGTCAGACTCCTACGAACTAACAACCATCCTGTTCCCTTTCTAAGCTAGAGCCCGCAATACATTATTGCTATATCACTCGCAACGCCTAAAGCATATTTTCTAGCATAAAAGCTGGTAATAACTTACCCTGACAAATTCTTCAGGGATGGGCTGTGTGAGTCGGTGCAGCGTGCCGGCGCGGGGTAAGAACCCGGCGCGAGGTTCCTCGGCATATATCCTGCACTCCACAGCGTGGCCGCGGCGGATGATCTGCTCCTGCGATAGGGGCAACTGCTCGCCAGCCGCCACGCGTAGCTGCCATTCTACTAGGTCCGTTCCTTAAATGAATAAAAAAAAAATAACTAAGTCAGTGTGATTCCTTTGTTTTTAGAAAATTTAAGATATACGCGTCTTATTTTGAGGGTTCCGTAGTAAACTAGGGACACTAGGAGACACTAGGAGCGGACTCAGTATAATCTCTTGTTTTTGAAAGATATATGATGAACTATTACAGAACAACTAAATTTCATCGAATAATCTTACCAGTGATCATCTCAGTGATGGGATGTTCGACCTGCAGGCGGGTGTTCATCTCCATGAAGTGGAACTCGTGAGTCTGTCGGTGCAGGATGAACTCCACAGTACCCGCGCCTACATAGCCTACTGCCTTAGCAGCGCGGACCGCAGCCTCGCCAAGGGATCTGCGAGTTTCTTCTGAAAGACCTGGCTGGAATACAAAAGTAAATTGCACTATTTATTGCAATAAAATAATCACACTTTCATTCATTGATTTTATAAGATTGATCGATAAACGATCGAATCGACGAATCACCTAATGGTAAGCAATTAGGAATTAAATTCACAAACACGCCGAAACACAACTCAAGCGTTGTTTCACGCCGCTATTTTGTATGGTAATAGCATTCCTTTCTACCTCATTTTCAAAAAAAAAAAATACAAACAAAATTGACTATTTTATTCTATAAAACATTTCGAAAAAAAGAAATAAGTAGTTGATTTGCTAGTATGATGTAGTTATCAAATACCCAGTTGATTCTGATTTCGATAAAGTGATTTTCAGATCCTCTCTTCTGGTGATCCATATTCTGCCAGTTATGGGTCTAGCCTAAATTGTAGGTAGGTAATATAGGACCCAAGATGGAACAAAGATCAATAATAAAAACAAAATAAGTATTACTGCCTGTACCCATGTATGTTTAGGTATCCATGAAATTAGGTAACAATTTTTAGAGTAGATATTTTATACCTATAATAGAAATAGGTCATACCGCTGGTGCTTCCTCAATGATTTTCTGATGACGTCTCTGCACTGAGCAATCTCTTTCGAACAGGTGCACCGCGTTGCCATGCATGTCTGCAAATACCTGAAATAATCACATATAAACCGTGAAATAATTATTCGTCCTCAAGTAGTGATCTGTGATCACTAGTTAGGGACCGTCCATAATTCACATGAGGATCAAAAGGGGGAGGACGAGGTTCGTACATTTTTTCAACAATTTTAATACAATGTCACTTATTAAAATAACAATTAAATGATCAAATATGTCGATACCTGAACTTCAACGTGTCTCGGGTCAGTTATATACTGTTCTAGAAGCATGTTGTCATCGCCAAATGATTTAAGAGATTCGCGCTTAGCTGATTCCAGTTGGGGAAGGAAGTCTGCTTCAGTCATTGCTATCCTCATACCCTGGAAAATAAAAGGTTGGTAACGATAAATGACTCGCTATTTCGAACCTGGTGAACAGTTGAATTACACTGGTGCAAAACATAATAAGTGTATTCACAAAGCATATCATTTCATCTATATCGTAAAAAAGGATTGGACACACTGCAATGGGTCATTCTGGAACATTTAAGCGACAACAATCAAGATGTATCATAATACGTTAGAGTTCTAAGTGGCTAAATACACGGTTGGCGTAGGGGCTAATGCGATAAAAGCTATAATTTAGTAAAAAACACTAAACCTACCTTTCCTCCACCACCTCGCACAGCTTTGATCATAAGAGGGAATCCGATCCTCTGTGCTTCAGCCTGAAGTTTTTCTATACTCTGATCTTCACCATGGTAACCTTTAACGATAGGAACTCCAGCAGCAGACATTATTGCCTTTGATGTGCTGCAAAAAACGAACATTAATCAAACAGTCAATAAGAAAAACCTATTAAATAAGCTTAAAGGGTGTCCATGTTCAATCACTACATAGTATAAAACAAAATCACTTTCTTTGTCCCTATATCCCCATGTATGCTTTAATCTTTAAAACTACACAATGGACTATAATGCAGTTTTTTTTATAGATTGAGAGATTGAAGAGAATGGTTTATATTTATTATAGAATCTATTAAATAGTGGAGAAATTTAGTATCAACATCGCACCACAAAATTTAGTAACAAAAATATTTAGAGAATTATTGTTATTTACAGCCTTTTTGCTAAATAAATACAATCAAGTGTAATTTTATTATATTCTGATGAGATTAGTAGATTTGTTCAATATAGAAAAAAGAAATTTGTTACTATATGAGTTATCTTACCTCTTGATACCCATATCCCTGATAGCTGCAGGAGGCGGTCCAATAAATATAACATCTTCACTGGCACACTTTTCACAAAATTCCACATTTTCTGACAAGAAACCGTAGCCGGGGTGAATGGCTTGACTATTAGACTTTTTAGCTACTTCCAATATTTTAGCTGCATTTAGATAACTTTGTGTTGACGGTGCTGGTCCTATATGGTATGCTTCATCTGCCTATAATTTAATAAATGATGTTTTAACAAAGATAAAATAAGTACCTTAAATATTCTTGGCAATTATATATAAAATAGCCATAATTGAACAACAACCAAAGCAAACAATTACATACTACAAAAAGTTTTCATATCTGACTGATAAATATTTTTGGCATGTTAAAAAAAAGTAGATTGTTTTTTTATGATAAATTCCAGAAACATACTTAGTGGAAAAATTAACCTTAAGTTGATTTCACTCAGATAAATTTTTAATTGACAAACAGATTAACAGCAAGATCACAAAGGCTGATTAATGAACATTAAGTAAACTGTTGTCATGCCAAATATATATACAATAGTATACTGTATGTAGGCTCATTATAATACTACCTTTGTGAATAATAATATAGTCTGAAAATAACAATAGTTACACTATGTCATTTTAAGTCATGAACTTACTTACTTACTAACTTACTTACTTAAAGCACATATTAGAATTGTATATAATTATTGTATCTGTCAAAGAGCATAGTAAAGTAATATTTATTACCATTTCAACATGCATAGCATGCTTGTCAGCATCTGAGTATACAGCTACTGTCCTCACACCCAGTTTCCGAGCAGTCTTCATCACTCTGCATGCTATTTCACCCCTATTGGCTATGAGCACTTTACTGATCTCCCTCCTTCGTACATCCTCTTTAAGTTGCTGGGCGTGCGAAAACCTTGCGGGGTATTGCAACCGCAAGGAAGCGCTGTAGAGTAATTTACACAATTTTTAAATAACACTTTTAATTGTTTTGTCATTTTATTAATATAATAGGCAATATTAATTAAATTGCCATTCAATTTATTTGTCAAAGATATTTTATTATTCACACTATCGCAATGAAATCAAGTTTGACTAAAAAATGAAGTTTAAACTAATTAAGTGTTATAGTGAATTCAGAATATTAATGACAATGGAGCATTATATGAATGATTTTATATATAGAAATAGGTATAGTAAAGAATGAAAAGCTTACCCATTTTTATACAGATGCCTTATATAAGACATGGCTAAAATGTAATAAGAGTTCTTATAAGTAATTAAATCACTGTTTTTCTTATCTCCTCAGATAGGTTCAAATACGTGTTTCGTGATTACGTCGGTCGCAGGCCCAACCACGGACTGATAACGCTGAGTAACGATACTATCACCGCCGAATAATTATCATATTCTTATCAACTCATTAGCAAATTTTAACTTCAGTCAGCCAACTTTTGAAACTCATACGAAGGTACCGAAAACCACAATTATAATAAACTATTTAGCATTACGATAATCGATCAGCACAATCATAATAACGAATTATTATTCATAAACATAAAGTTACATCATTTTTATTTGTGATTAAAAATCTGATATGAAAGCAAAACAAAGTTTATTTACAGAAATATTATTTTGTTTATAGGTACTGTCGAGGGTGACCAATGCGTTAAATTATAAATGATAAACTACGATTTATTAAACATAATTGTAGCTTTATCTTGGTTTTGCTAATTTTTTTACATATTTTCAAATCAGACTTTTCATTTAAAAATATCTTTGAGCTCTAATAGCTTTTTTAATGAAATATCATTTCATAACTTCATTAGTTTTTTATTGGTAACCCCATATAAATGTCAGGGAAAAATGACACTTTCGTAAAACGTCAATAATGTAAATACGTCATGTTATGCCGACTTTTTGCCAGACGAAAATGGTTTTATTTCTCTTAGCTATATGGTTTAGTTTGACTAATTTAATATTGTTGTTATGATTTTGTGGTCGTTATTAATGCCGCTCGCTCGTATTATTGTTATCGTATTGTAAAGAATAAACTAAAATGCATAAATGCACACTATGAGTGTTTCTGTGTAATATTGTGTCCACGCCGCGAATAAGTAAAACCGAAGGAGAATAAAATGGGTATAAAGGGTCTGTGGACAGTGCTAACACCTTACAGCGAAAAAAAAGCTTTACACGAAGTAAGCTCAATGTTTTCTTAGTCTACTTCATAATTTTTTAAATATATTTTCTGTAAATAAATAATACATTCATTATACATATTCCAGATTAGGGGTGAAACAGTTGCTGTTGATTTATCAGGATGGATTTGCGACAGTCAGAATGTAACGGATTACCATATCCAACCAAAACTGTACCTGAGGTAAGTAATAATGGATTTGAAAAACATTTTAAGTATAAAACTATCCTATTCTGAATAGTAAACTCTTATAGATTAAACTTTGCTGTGTATAAGTGGCATAGAATGTTTGGATAAAACTTCAACATAAATTCTGGTTACTTCTTACTGTCAGGTTACAGGTTCACCTCACATGTTAAGATAAATCTAGTATACAACAGAACTCCATGTATGTAACCTCTTATTAGTAAACAAAATAAAAATTAAAATTTATAACTTTTTCAGAAACCTCTTTTTCCGTACTGTATACCTGGTGTTGGCTGATATTAACCCAGTGTTTGTACTCGAGGGTGATGCTCCAGAGCTGAAGAGGGATGTCATGGCTGCCCGAAATGCAATCCAGTTCAAGGGAGCTGCTCCAAGGTCTGAAACTGCAGTAGCCAAGAAAAAACCTGATGTTGCTAGAAAGAGATTTAAAAATGTTCTCAAAGAAGTGAGTGCCTTGGGCTTGTTTATTTATTTATTTTTATGGGAGGACACCAGTTCTATATTCAAAATTAACTAGACATTAAAAGGCAGTAAAGTTATTAAAATAAGTTTGCTTTTAAATGTGAAAATATGAAAGGATCTTGTTATTAAATACTCTGTTAAACAAATAAGGTTTCATATCATGTTTCTTTGGTCTATTAAAACCACTATGTTCTAATTGTTATAGTGTGAATCACTGCTGAAGACTCTTGGTGTCCGCTGTGTGAAAGGTTCCGGGGAGGCTGAAGCAACATGTGCTCAACTAAATGCCCAAGGTGTTTGTATTTATTAACACAATTTAATAGTTTATATTTATAATAATAAGTCAAAATTAGTCTTTAATGTGCCTCATTTCCTACAGATAATTCAGTAGTGCCTGTGTAAAAGAGTATCAATAAAATTCCATATTAATACATATATTTTTGTAGGTATGTGTTTATAAAACATTATTATAAAAAAAATTGGATTTGATCAAGATTATGCAAAGTTTATAATATTGTTACTTTCTTATATTCTTGTTTCTGATAGTAAGTTAATGGTTTAATTATGCTAAGTTAATAAACTGGAATTCAGGTTTAACTATCTAAATTGCTCAAACAATTATTGTATTTTTGGTTTAGGTTTATTCAATACATGAACCTATAAATAATTTGCAAAAAAAGTTAATGTATTATAAGCATGTTATCTTCTTATGAGGAATAATAGATGTTTTATTTTTTTCCATTTCTATAGCTTCACATTAAATTGGCGTCAAAATATCTGAAACTACCTTCTCTCGCGCGGTTTCACCCGCTTCTCGGCTCCATTTGACCGTAGCATGATGTTTTATAGCCTATAGCACTCAGGAACATTGTAGCTATCTATCAGTGAAAGAATTTTGGCTATCCGACCAGCGGTTCCAATCATTACCCCCTACATACAAACTTACAAATTTTACCTCTTTGTAATATTAGTATAGATAAGTTTTTATAATAACTATCGTGAGACATACTAAATTAACTAAAATTCGCGGGTTACTCACGTGTAAACTCACTAGTAGAGCTTTTCTCAACATTTACACGCGAGTAACCCGCGAATTTTAGTTAATTTAGTATAGATAAGGTTGATAGTGGTTGACACAAATATGGCGGCTATATGCCGGCTTCATCTAGTTTTTCACATATAATTTGACGTGTAAAAGTGCCGTTTTATGGCCTATTTGCAAAAATAAATTCATTGTTTCATTGTTCCATTATATTTGTACTATTGGAAAAAAATTTGCATCTATGGATTGGTTCTAATGTTCACACAATGGATGATTAGATGGATAGATGTTTGGTAATCTTTCACATGAAGACCCCTTAATGGACCTGTACGAAGTTTTGTATATTGTTAGATAATGTTTGGAAAAGCACTATGGCTGTTTTTTCGTCTGGACCGGCGAAATCTCTGGCAGAAGCTAGTAACATAATTTTCATTTTTATTTGCATTCACAGGTGGTTGATGCAGTAGTATCTCAAGACTCAGATTGCTTTGCTTATGGAGCTCGCCGCGTGTACCGTAACTTTAGCGTGTCGAATGCAGCTGGAGGTGGCGCGTTGCAAGGTTCCGTCGACTGTTACGACGCTGATGCTATGTATAACCATAATGGTATGTTGGTTTAATTTCAACTTTGTTTACAAAGACTTTAGGTACATTTTCAAGTGGTGCAGGTAGACTGATAACTCAAAAAATTGTTACGAATTTTTTTTATGCATTTGCAAAGTTTGAGTAGTATATCCAATGCGTGAATTTATAAGTTTGTTTCGGCATTTCTTCTCAGCCTAGGCAGATACGAAAAGGCGGTTTTGTTATACATATAATTTTGACGTTTAACAATGCCGTTTTATGGCCCATTTGCAAAAATATTGTTGCATTATTTCACTGGTACTAAAATGTTGCAGGTTTTGGCCGTAACAAGATGGTGGCGCTAGCTCTGCTCTGCGGTTGTGACTATGGAGTCGGTGCGTGTGGGTCCTCCACGACCACTGTCGTATCATTCCTACATACAATTCAAGAGAAGGATGTTGTACCTAGGTAAATACCTAAACTATTATACATAACAATGGCAGGGAAGCCATTTTGGCTACGATTTCCAGGTGGGAGAAATTAATATCTGCGTTGCTAAAAAATCTCAGTGTTATAATCTATTTTAGAATACCTACTTAGTGACCATCGTAAGACATACTTAATTTATAAGAAGTATGAAACTAACTGAGAAAAGCTTTACTAGACCTCAGTTAATCACCGTGACTGAGTAGTTAGTTATTTTCAATATTTTTTGTCAAAGACAGCATCGTTTATTTATCGTACTTCATATATCGTTTTAAGCTTTCTCACTGTCCGACTCCAACACTGTTGACTTTCATAACACCAGCGCGAAAAGTTACATACATTTAAATAAAGCACCTTTGCTTATCTCAGAAAAGTGCGTCTATTTCGTGTTAATGATCATCTAAATAATCATAAATCATTCGCTAGGTTACTGTCTTGGGTAACGGATCCCGAGCGCTATGATGAACAGAACCGTTGGCTGGCAGCGCCCGGTCGCTGCGAGCGATGTGGTCACTTCGGCCGGCCGCACGGCAAGACTGGCTGCCCCGTGTGTGCCACGCATCGCGGCTGTAACGATACTGGGCATAAGTGAGTATTGGCATATACTAGATGTTGTACATTTTCATGTGCGGAAAAGTGCTTCGGCATGAATGAGCCGGTCCGAACGGAGTGATAACAAAACCTCACAGAAAATAGGTGTCAAATAACACTCGCGTTGTTTTACGCCGTGGCGTGGGAGTGATTTTACCGGAGGCCCAATTCTTGACACCCCTACCTCCAATTACCTTCGTAATCCAGTCCCTCGATAAATTAAGATGAGGCGCATATATTCTGTGGTTTGTGTTATTCACAGAAATCCAACAATTATCTAGGGAATTAAATTTTGCTAAATATTATGATAAGCTTTGAAATATTGAGAAGTTCAACAAGTTCTGCCGTCGTTATGCATAAATGATTATTAAACTAATTGAACAGGCATTTAATGTCTTGAATTATAAAAGACGCCCCAACCATTTTAGAAAAATAGTTTTCAATGTGCTTATGCCATATAATAATATGTTTTTTTTTGGTAATGCTGTGCCGCCTAAATGGTATGTTAAAACTGGGTCTAAATTAATAAACCTTAGTGTCTAGAGTGTACTTACACACGAACAAAATATAATAAGAACTAAAATAAGATCATCATCAGCCTATAAGTGCCCACTGCTGAGCAAAGGCCTCTTCTCACACGGAGAAAGTCTGAGCATTAATCACCACGATTGCTCAATGCGGGTTGGTGATTTCAAACTTACAATTAGAAATTTTAAGTCCAGATTTCCTCACGATGTTTACCTTCACCGTATGTCAAATAAGAACATTAATGTAATAAATACCTTTAACAGATATTTAGTCTAGACTCTAGGCTGTAGACTAAACATATCATATTTCGGAGATACATATTCGTCTTCAGTATTTTGGTAAATGGACACTAATAATGGTATGAATACATATACAAACATGATCCGTAAAGGTGACATTTATGTGCGAGTGTTTTTGGATATTTTTGATGTTAAAATTAACTTAAGGGTACCACGACGCGACATTAAAAAAAAAACAAAATATACATGTCCTTACATGATTTTTTATACCTTTTCTTAGGTTTTTGTGTAGGGGCTTATTTTTTTTATTATTTGGTTCCCGAAACCAAATGTAAAAAGAATAATATGTACTATCAACCTAAAACCTTCAAGTAATACCTAAAGAACATCATATATTTAGCTTACCTTGTTTTCAGAACGAAGGTGTCAGAAATTAAAAGGGAACTATCGCTTCGCAACCGCGCCTTAACTTGCGGGGCTCCCTTTCCTGAGCCCAAAGTAATGAAGGAATTTATGAACAGGCCTCCAGATAATATAGACCTTAACGCTTTGAAGAAACCTACACCAAGTTTGATACAATTTATGGTGAGCTTTTTTAATAATATACATTTTTTTTGTTGTTTATACCATGCACATCTAAGGATTGGAATAGCTTGCTAGCAACGGTCTTCCCGTCCAGTTATAATTTAGTTGTCTTCAAGGCTAGAGTGCATAGGCTCTTAATAAAGAAGGCGCCTTACCATCGACGATTGCATTACAGCTTACCATCAGGTGGGATTGCAGTGGTTGTCGACTATACTGTCGGTAATGTGAATTGATTAACGTGCCTAGTCTAAGTACCTGGTATGTCAGTGCCGCCCAAAATTAGTACACAATGAAATCTCATAATGTTTTGCGATTCTTCAAGTTTTAGAATAATTACTGTAAAATTTTAGCTACAGGTTCATTTTTTTCAGTTCATATATAGAATCCATTTTACTAAAACGATCAGTCAGATCGGTACAAATGAGGGCTTAGTTAAAAACATACATTTTAATGTAGCTACTATCTCTCTACTGAGTCAATCTTTATTTTCTTACCTGCATCTAAAATAATTGCGCAGACTGCACATAACTTTTAATAGATTAGTACGATAAAATTATTAACTTTGCTTAATCTAAGGAATAAAATTGTTGCTGTCACTGTCTTAATCAAACATTCTGACGCGACAGCATCATAATGATATCTCAGATAACATTTATATGACTATTGAAAAATCAGCCCTATATAAAATAAATTAGAAATACATTACCGAACATTTTGGTCCTGTAATTAAGCTTCTGTATTGTCTCTTTATTGCAGAAATTGATGACAAGCAAGTTGGACTGGTCAGAGCGATATTGTGTGGAGAAATTCTTGCCATTGCTTACGAAGTGGCACTTACAAGACGATGTGCCAGGCAGGAGTATCAAACCTATATTGATTAAGAAAAAGAGGAATCCAAGAGGTAAACTTTGACACAAAAACTCTTTATTTGTGAATACCATAGACTGCATATTGCGATGTTTAATACCACGGAATAGAAAATACAGTGGAAGTGCCGTTCAGACATCGCGCGCTAACCAATATCATGACTAGATATACAACATTTTGGCACATTTGTTGTCAGAATCGTTCGATCCGTTGTCATGATTGGTTGTCATGGTTGTCTCTAAGAAACACGAAATATATTAGAAATTATGCCTTGTTGTGCGGTTTTCAACTGCAAAAAAGTAAGCAGAAAAAAAGATGAGTCTTGTGGTGGTGTATCGTATCATCTTTGAGTATTAGCCATTGTTAATTTTAAATATATTTGATTTTAATGTAAATATCACATTTCATTACTTCAATGCAAACTATAAAGGGCCTTATTTTCATTACAATTAAGTTTAAATCTACTTGTTCGTTATGTGACGTTATATACAATACATTCTAGTAGTTTCGACGCTACTCATTTAGGGATGCGACATATTCGTAAAATAGGTTCATATCGATAATTTTTCATCATCGTTCAGAAAATTGATTTTTGACAATTTTTGTGTATAATTCATAAATGTTTAACTAAGATTGCATAGACACATCAACGTTTTAAACACACACAGCGTGCATCCGTCTGTGGCAGGTGCGGGTGGTTAATCACCATTTTTATTTTATAACTAGTTTTCGCCCGCGTGCTGTGTTGATAAAAAGCAGCAAATAGCAATAGAACAAAATCTAAGTATACATAAAATTTGGTATTTATCGTCTCATTTTTATGGGTACATCTCCAATGGGTAAATACCCTATTACTTACTAAGTCTCCGTAGTCCGTCCGTCCATAGATAGAAAGGCACGGATCTAACTAATAGGTAAGAGTGACAAATATTTGATAAAACCTATATTATATTATATTTTATACCGCATCGTGTCGAGCACGGCAACCGCTACACAAAAATAATTCTTATACCATGATTCAGTGTTCACTTGCGACGGCGCTATGTCTTATTATCCGAATTGCTAAGCTATCAGGAGTTACACGTGTTATTGTGAGTTAACCATAAAAGATAGACATATGCTGTAAAACATTTTATTTAGACAATTTTATTTAAAATATTTCCGTCATACATAATTTCTATGTAAGTTTAACCATTAAGGTTACACACGCGACTGAAACTTACAAAAGGGAGTAACTTCTCCCGTTTTCCCAACATTTTCCTTCACTGCTCTGCTTCTATTATTTGTAGCGTGATGAAAAGTATCCTATAACCTGCCCAGGAGTATAAAGAATAATTGTACCAAGTTTTGTTAAAATCCGTCGAGTAGTTTTTGTTTCTATAAAGAACATACAGACAGACAGAGACAAAATTTTTACTGATTGCATTTTTGGCATCAGTATCGATCACTAATCACCCCCTGGTAGTTATTTTGAAAATATATTTAATGTACAGAATTGACCCCTCTACAGATTTATTTTAAGTATAGATGTTGTACATGATTTTTATCAGAGTTCCAAAAAGGAGAGTGACTCTCAATTCGACTGTAACATTTTTTTTGTTTTTTCGTCTGCGTTATTTATGGAAAGGAGATAAAACTAGTAGGAGCTCGTAGTGCTTTTATATGTTAAAATCGAAATCTTTAATAATAACTTGACCATCTCCAAAAAACATTAAATCTTCAAAAAATATGTTAATATTTTTCTTTTTTTCTATTAGAACCTTTTTCATTACTGATCATTTGTAGGTCATATTGCCTTTTTCATTACTGATCATTTGTAGGCAATATAATTTATCGACACGATAAATTATATTGCTCACACGAATACAAAAACATCGATATATTGGGATACCCTGCCCTATCTGAGTAGCAAAATAGTAAATGTCTATTGGTACAAGTGCATACCAATATGACATCTATTTCAAAGAAGTTAGCGTTTTGAATAGAATGAATTTGTTACAGCGCCATCTAGCGTTGAGTGGCTGAACCCGAGTTTTTTACACGATAGGCGCCTTTATTGATTGTGACATGTGAAATGATAACAACTTTCGCTCATTGTTATAAGACTCAATTTTTAACAACATTTAAAAGATGATTTGCTAAAGTTGCGTTTCATCTTTTTACCCAATTATATAGCTGTTTTTTATGTGTGTATTGGACAATTTGATTTGCGAATGTGTGATTTTGGCGACACTGGTTTTTCTTTTGAAAGAGTGTAGGGGCACTTCTACTTAATTTTCTGTTCTGTGTTTAATACTTATTTCGTTTCCTCATTATTCGTGCATGCTCGGCTGTTTAGGTATAGGTACTATCTACAACGCGTATTTTATACCCTTGTGTGAATCAGAAACACTATGTATAATCAAAATCATTTAGTAGTTGGATCCAGTATTTTTTTAATCTGTAATTAAAGCGTTCTTAAGTCAATGCTTGCTGTCTGGTGTCGCTTTGTAGATATGCATAATAATAGCATAAATATGTTTTAGGTGTACCAAGTTTTGAAGTTGTGTGGTCAGACATCAGTGGACAGTATGACGGACTTATACCCGATGATCAGTTTGAAGGTACATTCTTACATAATCACTTCTTTCTTTATTTAAAAATAGTTGTTTTTGGTTTACATGCTTCTCATCTTAATACAAATTTTGCAGAAGGTGAGGATCCCTCCATAGTGTGGACTACTACGGAAAGACAAGATTTGATGCGCAAATACTATTCGGATCTGGTAGAAGCCTACGAAGAGTCAACCAAAAAGCCTGTCAAAGAAAAGAAGACTAGAGGAAGAAAGAAGAAAGAAGACACTGACAACGCCAACCCTGACAAACCTAAAAGAAAATATAATAGGAAACCTAAAAACATTGATCCTGTCGACAATATAAACGCGTCGATTAAATCACTAGGACTTAAAGACAAGGAAACGAATTCAAGCATATTAAATGTGAGTGTAAAAGTAAATAAGCTAAAAAGAAAAATTAAAACGAACACAAAGAAAGGACAAAAAACTTTAAATAGCTTCATCGTCAACAAAAAACGAAAGGCTAACGATAAATTAATTCAATCTCTTAGACAGAGCTTTAAAAACATGTCCGTATGTGATGACTATATGAGTACACCTCATAAGAATGATGATAAATTCAATGAGATTTTGAGCGACAATAAAGAAAATAAATTAAGTGCACATTGTTTATCATTATTAAACAAGACTGGAGATGAAAGCGACGGTGACTTATCAGCTATAATAGATGAAATAGTTTCAAGGTCACCAGAACTTAAAACGGTGCCAATTGACAATAAATTAGTTAGACTAGTGTTCGAAAAATACTCAACGCCAAAAAAAATGAGTATGCGAAAATCTGTTTTGAATCAAATTCACAATAATTGCTCTACACCAAGAGACAGTCCAGTTAGGAAGAAAAGTCTAAGATTTAGCAGTAATAATTCTATGATCAGTAAAGTAAATACCAGTTATTTTTTCGATAAGTTGACGGAAGATGGCGACGCCTTTGAAATGTCTTTGGAGCATAAAAGTGTTGTGCAATTGGATAGTACTGTCGAATACAGTCTGCCCGAGGTTTTTCTGTAGGATCATGTAAATGAGAGTTCGAATATACTGAATTAAAAAAAATATGTGGTTTTATTATTGTGTCATGTATTTTTAATACTTAAACATAAATACTTATAATTAAATATCTTAATAAGCAAACCAGCCAACTACACATTTCCTAAACTTTTTTTTTTGTTATTGCGCAGCGCAAAAAAATAGGATTTTATATTAGCAAAATCGAAAACTCCGATATGATCAGTTTTTTTTATTTGCTATTCGATATTGCTCATGAAGAGTTTGCTGGTTTGCCAACAAAGGTATCGAACTAGAAAATACAGAAGAGCTTAGGAGAGAATTTGTAGAATTTGGGAGCTAACGAGGATGCTAATCAGATGGTGGTACCTAAGCGTTAGAAGCTGTCCTATTGACACTTGTAACGTCATATATCTGACTATACAGGGGTTGCGGGGTAAGGGCAATGTGACACCGCGGCCTCGGCCTAATAGGAGAAGGAACGGGGGCATGTTATTCAGTAAGAGTCTGGGCGGGAGAAGTCATTTGATGATTTTCCCCTCAGAAAAAGCCAACTTCACATTCTTAAAAATATGATTTTGTTTGCGGTAGAAGTAAACAGTTTTTTAAATATGCTATTGAAAAATCCGAACTCCCAATAACTTAAAAAAATAGTATTTTATCTATTATAGCTGGTTTGCCAACAAAGGTATCGAAATACAGAATACAGAAGAGCTTAAAAGAGAATTTATAGAAATTGGGAGTTCACGAGGATGCTATTCAGAATCAGATGAAGAGAAGCGATCGACACCGTCCTGTTTCACTTCTAACACCAGAAATGTAATTAACTTTAGGTACAGTTTACACTGCATTGCCGGACGTTGGATGAGGAACAGTTTTTTTATGTAAGAGGGCGGCAAACGAGCAGCCGTATAACCTGCTGATAAGCAATCAGCGCCGCCCATGGACACCCGCAACGGAGGAGTTACGATTGCGTTGCCGACCTTTTAGGGATTAGGGATTTGGAGATTTAAGGATTGGGGAGGGATTGGTGGAGGGGAAGGATTGGGCTTCCGGTAACCTCACTTACACGGCGAAACACAACGCTGTGGTTGTTTCACGCCGCTTTTCTGTGAGGCCGTGGTATCACTCCGGTCGAGCCGACCCATTCGTGCCGAAGTATGGCTCTCCCACACCTAAAACAGATTCAAATATCGTCCTTGATATTGTTTCATGACGCCTATTTACCTGGCCTTTCGTGCCAGAGCATCTACCACGTGAACAAAGCAAATTAATAATAAATAGTCCTTTTAAAAATATTGGCGTCTTTTAATAGAATCCTTTTGTTTTGTTACCTAGTCAGTAAGTGTCTGACTCTCTCTCTTGCCTTACCCTGGGCGGTAAAAGTCATTTGCAAAAAAAACCTATATCAGTGGAATGTGGAAGGTAAAATAGGCAAATGGACACATATTATACAAGTTTTTTACATATACTTACACTAGCGACCCGGCCCGGCCTTGCACGAGTGCAATGTTTTTCACTATTTAATCGATGTAGTTATTCATTGGTATTGATTTTTACCTCTTTATTGGTAAAAATCCGTTGCGTAGTTTTAAAGATTTAAGCATACAAATGGAACCTACAGAGAAAGCGATCTTTTTATCATCATCATCAGGCAAAGGCCTCTTCTCATACGGAGAAGGTTAGAGCATTAATCACCACGCTTGCTCAATGCGGGTTGGCGATTTCAAACTTATAATTAGAAATTATAAGTCCAAGTTTCCTCACGGTGTTTTCCTTCACTGTATGTCAGTGGTGTCTAAATAATCATAGAAAGTACATATAACTCGGAAAAAGTCACATTGGTACTTGCCAGGTTTCGAACCCACACCCTCATGCATGAGAAGCGGGCTCCATAACCTCCGGGCCACCACGACATCGACGATCTTTTTATACAATGTAGTAAAATAACAATTCCTAACTATCAAAAACCGTTTGGCGTGTTTTCTCTTATTATATAGTGACTTTCAGAAACAAAATACGTTTCTTCTATCTGCAAGCCGCAAGTCATTTGAAACAAAAAGGGTTGACGTGTCTTTGTAACGAGATTGGCTGACCGACGACGGAAAACTAATCGCTTCCGTCAGATAATACAGCTGTAGGTATACCAACTGATTACTCACAAAGCATGATGATGCAGTTTTCAAAAGCTGATGTTTATAGGTTTATTCGTAACTCGTTTAGATAGAAAGTCCAGAAAAATAGTTGAACAACAATGTCCAAAAAAGTCATTTTTGTAAATTTCATTTGAGTTTTAGTTCCCGATTGAAACTTCACGATCAGTTTTGTCCCCATCATTTCCGATCTCATCACAAGCCTGTTCGTTATTGAGGACAGCTTTGAGGTCGCGAATAGTCTCGATTCGTGTCCAGAACAAAATCACAATGTTTTGGTCCATGAATAACAACTAAGGGCAGATGTGATAATAGATAAGTGTTCGTCACAATCACGTGTGTATTAGGTCCAGAGACGGCTACAAGTCAAGTATCACGAACGAAACGTGGTGTAAAAAAAAAATATGCATAATTTATTATAACTTATTCTATTGCAACGTCAAAACTTTGAAAGAGAAGTTTGTATTGTTGCGAATACCCATGGGCGCTAGGCCTGCTCCTTAGCCGTCCTATCACATAAAAAAGTACTTACTTAGTACCTCACTACGTTTTTAAAGGTTATCTGTACTTTTGTATATAATATTATTCCTAATTTATGTTCGGCCTCAAAGGAAACTAGTGTGAAACAACCAAAGCGTTGTGTTTCGCCGTATAAGTGAGTTTACGGAGGCTCATACCTTCCCCACCACCATCCCTCTTCCAAATTCCACAAAGGCCAGCAACGCACTCGTGACTCCTCTGGTACTGCGGGTGTTCATAGGCGGTTTCGATTGCAGGTAACCGATTTTGCCGACGCATCGTTTAAAAAAGATTCACGAGATTTCATAACCAAGCGGCCTATTTGCCATATTTGGACGCATAGTTGTAGATAAGTTCCTTCTAGGTAGGATCTTTCTGAATTTGTCATCTTTTAACAATATTTTACTTACCCTAGATGCTTAGAAATAATCTACAGTGTAGGTACTAATTATAGGTACCTATATGTATAACGAACCTATATAAGTTTTTAATAACAATTCTTCAATCCACTTCTACACAAATATAATAATTACTCTTAGTTACAGAGTTATGGTTTTAACATAAGTTCCCTTCGATTGAATAATCATAAAATGGAAGACCACAAAAGATACAAATGGCAAAGTATTACGATCTCAATAAAAGCATTGTCACAATGATCCGCGATAATCTTAGAAAGTGATAAACTAGTTGTTATAGCTTTTAGCTGCGGTTGTTTGGCCACAAATCCATTTGAATGCTGATAGCTGAGCGCCCCGTACCGCGGCCACGGTGACGCGCTCTCTCCGCTCAGCAATTAATATCATAATCCCAGCTTTGTTGTGTTCATACCTATTTCGATATTGATATTGTATAAGTATTATCATCAATTGGATTGGATTGGGTCTACTAAATAAGTATTATCAATACTAGGCATGACTTGTGTTTGGTATACCTAAGGGTGTTTTTACACTTTTTACACTATAGCGGAAGGGGTTTCTTATGTGATAGGTCAGCAAGCGATACCCGTACACCAGCGACGTTACGAGTGCATTGCCTGCCATTCGGGGTGGATTGGGGGAGGGGAAGGTTTGGGCCTCCGGTAACTTAACTCACACGGTGAAGCACACCGCTGTGATTTTTTCGCTCGGGTTTACTGTGAGGCCGTGGTAGCATTTCGGTCGAGGCGACCTATTCGTGCAGAAGCTTGTCTCTCCCACACCTGTATAGGTAGGTAGGTAAATGTTTTATTGTTAATAACACATATATTGCGTCAATAAAGAATTAGACAGAGCCTTATGGACTGTTCAGACTAAATTTGCTGGTGCATTTGTTTCTTTTTACTTATGCAATTGATATTTAAGTTTGATACAATTTACTCTCTCTCGGCACACCCATTCGGCGATAGAAGTCATTTGATGATTTTTCCCCAAAAAGTTTAATACCAGAAAGTGGGCAAAACTCTAGTCAATTCTGTTCCGAAGAACTTGAAAAATTAAACAGCTTTACATCGGAATAGAGTCTAAATATATGAAAATCAAACATGACAACTACAAACATAAATCTTCTTGGTTATCTGGTTCCCTCAATACTCGCTCCATTCTCGGTGCTCAATACATTGGCTTTGAGAACACCCGTTTGAAAATTGGCTTTAATCGCTTAACCTACTCCCCAAAGTATGGAAGGCGAAACAGTAACCCTTTATTAGTGAAACAACCGGTGGTTACGAAAAACCTCATTCTTCCCCTCCTGTCAAAAAATCCGACAACATACTTGTTCTTTTGTGTTGCGGGTCAACACCCATCTATTGAAATTGTGCTTTCAACAGAAAAATAAAGACGAAAGCTCTCGAATAAACATACAAATTAATTTAATTGATACTCCAGAGTACACGTTTCACATAAAACAAAGACCTGTCGAGACTGAAACTGTTTCAATGTACCTATTCACAATTAGTTTATTTATGTACTCCACAAAGGGTACAACATTAACAGAAATATGCAAACTTCGTTAAAATAATAACGCAGTTGTTTTGTATAAATATTTATTTATGTTTTGAATGCGATTATGCAAAAGCTTTCAAACAACAAAAGGAATTAGGCTACGTTAGCGTTTCGCGTGCTACGAGCTACGAATTCGTAGCGCGGTCTACGAACTATACGTAGCCTTTCAGTGAATTGTTTATAAGACGTGGTACATTGTGTTTTAATTGGTAGTTCATTACTTTTTCAGTATAGGTATACATGTACACATATTATGAGTATATTTGTGTAGTATAAGTATAATATGTAATTAATTTTAAATTAACTTTTACATATCCTTCTGAAGTCATTCGTTTTCGTGTACCATTGAGCTTATACTTATTTTAACTGTTTCTAATTAATATAATTCTATATGCACCTTGCACGGTTTGATTAATCATATGGGATCGGAAATCGTATAAGTACATGTTAATCAACATTTTCTTAAACGTTTCTACGTTCATTTATTGTAACAATAGTGATCTATTATTTTGAATAGACAGTGCTATTAGATTCGAAGTGGATTTGGTTGGAAGTGTAGTTATCGTATGCACTATTCCAGTATGATTGGGTAAACTATAGTGTAGAAGAGTGGGTAGCGCCGTAGCGCGGCAGGAGGCTGCCGAGGCCCGCGGCACAATGGATGTGTTTTTCCTGGATCTGCCGTCACCTGCCGCGTTCCCAGGGATATCAATTTGCGCAGTTTTAATCGTTTTCGGTCAGCGCTCAGGAGTTTTATTCGAAGAATTTAAATGGTTAAAATGTCAATTTATTTCCAAGTCCTCTTTAGAGTTATGATTTGATTAATGCGTTTAATGAACAGACACTCATGACTGCTTTGTGTACTCTGTCTGATGTGTTATAGTTCTTTGTTATCAATTTATGTGACATATTTATTGGTATAGTCTGCAGTGTCGCTTTTTATATTTTTACAAACATTTAAAAGCCAAGAAGTAGTTTGTCTCCAGACCGCAACGTGGTACACGAGATTATCGCGCGGCGATTAGGTATTCGATGTAGCTCACAGGCGGCGTTTAGATCTCCAGGATTTATACCCAATTCAGACAAGTTCACAACTGAGACGATGTCTAGATTTACAAAGTGTACGTTGAGGACGATCGAACCGTAAAATGCTACGAGAAAGTCTAAATCCTTTTTAACCTCGTCACTGTGTTAGAAGGAGATGCGTGGCGGGTTTGTTCACCCCTGCGTCGTCAGATCTCGTAGCCAATCGGAGAGATTCGGAGGCTGCGTCGCAGAGCGCGCGCGCGTACCCGGCCGCTTCGTCATTGCGACGGAGGCTGTCGTGTGTCGGCGCTGGCCCGTGCGAGCGCTCGTCCGTGCGTCACCTGAGCCGCCGCGTCCGACGCCGGGTCGCGCGAACACGCCCTCGTGCCCACCGCGCGCCACGCCGCACGCTCACGCTACCGGCCGAACGCCTGCCCGGCCCGAGCCGGCTGTGCCGCGCAGTGTCTGTGTGTCTCCATAGCTCAGTGACCACGTTCCCGGGGACCGGCGATTGTGGCGCGATGTAAAGAAGCCGCGTCCGTAAATTTATGTGTAAGTGGATGCGTTGCGTGTATCTGTAGTCCGCATGGCGATTGTCGACGCCGGTAACGATTTTCCGCAAGCTAACAGCTCTAGCGAGTGGCATTCGGAATAAAAATGAATGAATTACGAAGCAGCCCGCCCCGGGGGACTAGCCGTTGTATTTTAACCTCTACCCAGAGGGGATAGAGTCGCGCACGTGCGCTGTTATGCTACATCTAAATGAATACACTCCTCCGACTTTCTTATTGCCAATCTACAGTCAATACTAAGAGCTGACTAATTGCTTCCTTCGACAGCAAGCACTGTACATCGGTCCTTAGATAATATAACATTGCCAATGTAACAGGTGTCGCTTAATGTACCAGGGCTGAAGCTTGACATTGAATCTCTCAGTTATTGTTTTAAAAATCGATATTAGCTATTTACACGAATCGTCTCACAAGAAAGATGAGATGCTTTTCTAAAATTAGTATTTCAACGTGTCGGCTTTGTAACTGTTTGCATTGAAATGTTTAAACTACTTTTGGTTGATCTATAAATAATTCACATGTTCAAAGTTTATATACCAAATGATTCCGTTATCATTTCATCCGTGAGACCAATTTAGCAACTTTAATCGAATGAATTTGTTAGATCAATACGAGGAACCGCCGGCTCTTTGGCGATCACTAAAAAGTAGAGGCCTGTATTATCTTTTCAAGTAGTCAGTTATATTGAGTGAATACGATAAGGTACAAAGTCGCGCGAGAAATGTAAATGAGAATTGATGCCAATGAATCTCATAAAGAAATAAAAATAATATCAGGAGCGCGTGACAGTAACACAATCTGGAAAGATCTTGTGTTTATATTGCTCACTTAGTGGTTAACGCGAGGTTAAAAGTACTTATGAAAAGCATGTCTTAACCTTACACTTTCTGTTTTGGTTCCATAATTTGTTTATGTTTTAGTAGCTATTACAACTCTTCCGCCTCTTTAAAGACAAAGAAAACACGACGCTTTAGGAAATTTTCCTCGCCACCTAAACAACTTTGAGTACAAAAATGGTTTTATTTTTATTTTTTAATTGTATGCCGCGTAATACTGGTTCAATCGTGCTATAAAGTATAGAGCATTCCTACAAAAAAAAGATAATAAAATATTTTGTACCTAATGATATATATTTTGTACAATAATAATGAAACATAAAGGATTTCGTTGGCTTCAGGAGGTATAAATAAATGTTCTACATCGTTGTTGTACTAAATGTAGTTCACTAGATTGTAGGGAAGCTTTTAGGGCGATTGAGGAGCGGTGGTGCTCTGACCACCATATAAGCTCGTTATATAAATGGAGTATCGAGAGGCAAGAGGTCCAGCTATAATACAAAGTCACAAGCGGTCCATTTTAGCTCCCTCGAGCCAACACAATATAATGTTGCATACATGATTCTCCGAACCATGTAACGACCATTATCTTTGTAAGTTATGACGCTGATAATGGTACTAAGCTATAAAATATTAAGGGGAAAACCTAATTTTAATGCTTGCCACGAGTCGAGTCGCCAGTACTATCTTCTAGTAGAGCAGCAAGTAATTGATTATCTTTAAATAGTCCTCCATTCTAAAGATAGACACGAGTCCATACTGAAATGGTAACGGGAACAAAGCTATTTTCAAAATCGTTGGCGTATATTAAGAGGGACGGCGCCCACAATGGGCGCAGTCAAAGAAAATGTCAGAATATGAGAATGTTCGCCGGGTAACGGCCGAAACGTTTTTGGGGCACGAGTACTCAGAAGCGCTCGAACAACTATATACTGTGAGCGAGATCGTACTGGAGAGAATGTGACGTATATGAGATGTCTTGTTGTACCGGCTCCCGCACAACGAAAACATTCGGAGAATGAGCGTGTGTCACAAGCAGGCTCGCTACAAATAAATGGCGCACGTTTCACGACTGACAGTTGCTGAACGGTCGCTGCGGCGGAAATTTCAACTGTACAGTTTTAAATATTTTCCTCGCAGCGCCCCCTTTGTGCAGGCGCACGAGGTATGAGCAGTAGAAACCTGCCATAAAGTTACATAGTTTCGTTTATAAAGTTGTTTACATTCAGCTAAACTCGAAACTATTTCAGTTCTCCAAAAGTCCACAGTTATAATTACTTCATACTCTTTTGTCATGACTGGATTTTTGGTTCCGTTTACAAGGCTCAAATATTTTTCTCTTTGTTTGTGAATTACACTACTGAAAATGTTTTTTTGACTGATTTAAAGGATCGTAAGAATGTATGCGTGTGTCAAAAGAAAACGAAACAGTAACAAAAACAATAGCAGAGATTTTCTTGAGATCATAAAGACAAAGGCGATGGTTCAGCTTGAATCATTATTAATACACGAGATTTTATTGAAGTTCTTCCCGATGAAGGCTGAAGGTGTGACATAAAAAATATCTCGTCCTGGTTATAAACGGCAAGGGGACATAAACAGTAAGCCCGGGGAAAATGTAATAAAAGTTAGCAGAAGTATTCGCTCTGCTGTGCTACCTACGTAGGTATCTATGTAGCCGTACTTTAGACGTTGATAGATTGTTTCTTTGTTTTCTTGAATTTAAAATAAATTCTTGCAAACTTTTCAGATTATAGTCAAATGCGCAAAGTACGCTTCATATTTTTTACAACGCAGTTATATGTCTTTATAAAGGATGCGAAGGCAGGTTTTCGTTTAGTATATCCACGACGTCCTAGTTATTCTTTGACTATCTAAGAAAGCTTTGTGGGTGAGCTCTTATCCATATTTTTACATTTTCCGAGAGTTCACGTCGTCACAGACCCAACTATAGCGCAGTACAAACAAAAGCGCGGCATGTGAATGAGTTATCTCTGCAAAGTTTCATGTCCCACATTCTCCATCACCTTGTCAATGCAAACTTGGAATATTTCCTTCACTCCCTATCGGAGTCAAACTTCGTCAAATGTTTTAATTGAATTCAAGTATAATGGAGAGAACTAGCGGACATGAACATCGAGGGAAACTGTTCATTTACGTTCACGATGTGGATTGGATGAAGTTTTCAAAATGATTTCAAGTTTCCCTTCTCAAAAGGTTCGTGTTTCCATTCAAAGTGCTCTAGATACCGATTTTGATTAAAATGTTTCTTTTGTTTGTGACGTTGGGGATTTTTGTGACACTTACTCCTTTAGTTGTGAGAGAAAATGTATGATTATAGTAGAAACCTATTCATTTAATTAGTTTTATTTTATGATAACTGTTATTTTGGTTTTTGAAACATTATTATAAAGGACGGTGTTGCTAATTTTGCATGAAAACAACGTGTTTTCGTTTTATAACCCCTCAGATATGCAGATTCTAATTAGACAATACTTAAAGAACACACCGAAACAGGTTTTAAAGACTAAGAAAATAAGTATTAGGCAATAAGTATTCGATAGTTTTCTATTACAAGAATAAGTTTACATGGAAATATTCCGAAAGTAAACATGTTACTTATTTGATTGAACCGTGAAACGTCGCGTGAAAGATGAGCCCTTTTACAGTGACATTTGACATCCATCCGAAAGACGGAATGAAGATGAATACTCGTACATTTGTGTGTATCGAATGCGCTTAGTATACTTGGAGGCCATTTGTAGAACATTTTTATACTATTACGTACATACTCGCAGATATATAGAGAAGTTTATACAAAAATTTGATTAGGAACAGATATCATTTGAAACTCGCTACTTTCGGCAATTTGCCGGCGGCACCGATATTGTATTCCGATGTCTAGCTCCCAAGGGTTAGACATCGGAACAAATTGCAGGTTTTCGATGCCAAATGCACGTCTTTTGGAGATCTTAGTGCATACATACCATTATTTCCTTATCTGTGCTTTGGAAATCGAGTTTAAGTATAGTACCTACCTAAAACTTTTAGACAAAATGTTAAGGCCTAAAATTGACTCGGTTCGACAATATATCGCTAAGAAGCCGCCCTTAGCACTTGACAGAACATATATTGAATAAAATTTATTTGGAATCCTATTTTCTCATACTTGGCACGGGGAGGCTTTTGTGGATCGGCGGGGATGACATCATTTGCCCACCTTAAAAGGGACAAAGCGTGAAATGAACAATCCTTTTATCTAATTTTACCCCGTAACGTGACGGTAAAAGGAAGAGTTATGAATTTATACTCCATTCACCATGTGTGCTCCTGACGTTTGGCTTTAGCATTTCATTTTTCTTTTTGAATGTAGGCTACCGAATATGATGAATGAGGCGCCTAGTGAAGCACGGCCCACTTCTTTTTAAGTACGGAGCCACCTTACTCTCCAGTTGAGAATGTTAAATATGCGTGCATACACAAAAATAGGTAGTATTTGAATAATAAGCCAGGAAGAGCTTGACTTTTGTGCACTTAAGTAACGAATCCGAAACATAAATGAAAATTAGCATCATTTGGTAGAGATCTTTATTAAAAATAGTGCAATATTATCTAATGATACAAACCTATTTTTAGTAGAGGTGATTATTCAATAACGTTGCAGCCAAATTATCTTATTAAACTTTGAGACAATAGTACAAGTTACAGAATTAATGAAGACAATATATATGGTACATTTGTCAATTGAAATTAATGAAATTTTATTGGACGGAAAAATGGAAGACGAATGCGTTGCGATATTTTAGCTTTCACCCGATTGGATTCTTTAGTCGAAGAAAGTTTCACAAGACTTTCAGATGCAGACGAAGCGAGCGTAAGATATCTTGAAAAATGAGAGGCATAAGTGAAACACGGAGAGAACTTGTGAACTACTGAACAACTTTACCGAAGCTGATCAGACTTATATAGGATATTAATAGTACGCTTAGCGGGTACTTAGAGTAGACGTTGAAGAAAGAATTCTATTTTATGTTTAAGATAGAACATTTTATAATGCTTAGATACGTTGTCGA